CAAAGGAATAATTATTACTTCTTTAATTATTTAATAACATTAATATTTATGTTATCCTCATCTATACTTAATAACTAAACTATTAACTATCGGTGACTACTTTTACAAATTCGATTGGATTGTTATTATTGGCAACTAATTACGCAGAGTGTTAAGTTTTTAAAAACCTCCAAGAAGAAGGAAAACTAGACGTAAAACAACATAACGAGTTAGAAAAATCCAAAAAAAAAGGATATTAAACACGCTGGGTGTCATTGGTGAGCAATAACTGGAAAATATTGTTGAAATATTAATGGTATCATGTCCCCCTTGCATGGCAACGCACCACAGGAAAGTAAATCATATTTAAATATTCATTGTGCGTTTGATATTGAATTTACCAATATTGTAGGTAGGCTATACCGAAGGTCGACTTGTTGTTGGGATATATTTGCCACCAAGCCACTTCCTGCGAGAGGAAGTGTGAAATTAACCGATGCACTCAGGAACAAAAACACTCACGTCCATGCGGAACGAGTTACACTGAAAAAATTTGATGTATTCACAAGGACATTGGTTAACCACATCAAAAAACTGACCAACGATCGCTCTAGGATTTTTTTGCCATTGCCATCGCCTTCTTTCTGCCAAAATTCTCAAGTAAATATCGTAAAGTGCCACTCAAGATAGGAAAGTACTACATTTTTTACTATTATCATTATTAAAATTGTTCTGTTCAAATTGCATTAAAATTTAAATTGACTCTAAATGCAAAAGCAATTTAGAAAGTTTTTCCTTTTTAACTTCAGCACCATTAATACCATGTATAATTGGTTCGCTTCGTGGCATGAATTTGGAAGGCAGATTTTGAGGTTAATTGAAGCAAAATTAATTTCCGTGCTCGTCGCAACCAATTTCTATTTGAAATATGGCCACCTAGCTAGAACAATTAATTCAAGATGTTTCTAAAGTTTCCTTGATAAGAGGTAAATAACCTGACTGATTAGATTCCGGCGAAGATCTTGGGTGTTTTTATTATGGAACCATGGAAATCTTTAATATAACATTTTTTTAATTAAAAAAATGGGACGCCCTGTATTTAGCACTTTTATTGAGTTTGGGGTTTAATTCGATATAATTTCACGTATATAGCTTTTTTACAAAAATTGGTAGTTTATACATAACATCTAATCTATTTTAAGTTTCGTTTTAAACATTAATTACTTAAATTCAATATAAATCCCCGATAAACATGTAATATGCTTTCAATTTCCACAATGGCGTCTTATTTTTACAAAATATCCATGGAAAAAAACGAATAAAATTGTTGTTTGGGCGGAAACAAGCAGTTTTTATTTGATGTTTAGTTGCCACAAACTTTTCTTAAAAGAAAAAATGTCTTTTTACATTCTTCAAGATTTTCATGAATGTTACATAAGAAATAATAAGGGTACGGCATTAGACCTAAGATAATATAGGTTTCGTATCCTGCAGGAAACACATTTTTTCAAGAATTGTTAGTGATCTTAAACGTGGAGTGGCAGTCAATAATCGTAAACGCCGCCCACATAACATAAGAGAAGCAATTGGCAGTTCTCCTGTATTTTGAAGAAAACAACGAAAATTCACAAAGAAATGCATCCCGAGGTCTATCGGATATTAGTAAGACTAGTGTTCAAAGGACTGGCGTACCTGAAACGAGAATCGAAATTAGGAAACAGGATCGAAGAAGTGGTTAAGTGTGGTGATCGAATAATCGGCCTAGTATTTTATGACCTTGTTCTGAATGGTGAGAAATATTTTAACTGGTTGGAGAACTATATATACCGCAGTGTCTCGTAGAAATTGTTTAAGTCGGCGTTTTCAATTTTGGTTAGTTTGGTAAAAATTCTTTAATCACCGTTTTCAATTTTGGATTGGTCGGAACCATGGATTGGTCAGAGAGGAGCCCAGATGTGGCACCCCAGAACTTTTTTTATGGTGCTGCATAAAAAACGACATGAAGCTGTCAAATGTATAAAAATAGGTGTAATAGTGTTCAAAACTCAAAAATGCAAATTCGACAAATGGTAGGAACACTTAACAGACGCGGTTAGAAAATGCTATTGCGAAAATTTAAGTATATATTTGTATCGCCAAAGATGGAGGTTATGAATGTTATTTTTATATTTAAATTAAGTAATTAATGTATAAGAAAAATTAGTTAGAATAGCATATTAAATATAATAAATCAATTTGTTGCAGAATATTGGCCATAACTTCTAAACTAAGTATCAATTTTTGTAATAGAAATTTTATATATGAAATTAATTAACTCCCAAATCAAATCCAATAAAAGTGCTAAGTACAGGGTGTTCCATATAAAAAACTAAGTTGAAAATCATTTGTGACTACCCTGTATGATATATATTCGCCATAGATAAGTCAAAGCATTAAATAGTTAATCGTTTCCATGGATCCATAATAAAAATTCCCAATATTAATTTTCGAGTGTAAAAAAACACATTTTTCAAAAAAATTGGGAAAATCCAATGACAAAAAATACTCAAAGTCAAGCGAATAATTAGTTAATTATGTTAGTTACTGTACGGCACAACGAAACACCGTGTGTACATAAAAATGCTATAAATAAAATTTATACTTAGGGTCTAACGCTAACTTTCCTTCCTAGTGTCGTACCTATTGAGATATGGACCACCCCGTACATTATTGCTTTACGTTTGTGAATTGTTTTTTGAAAACTATATTTTTAAAATATACATTATCAGCACCCTACTCTGAAATAGTCGATTATACACTAAACAAGCATTCAAACAGCATCAATTTAAGGTGTTGCCGATTCAGGTAGGCACACGTCACTCAAAAACCAATGGTCGTAGAAAAAGTGTTAGCATGCAACATTTCTTCAGTCACTCATCTATAAAACACTCGCTTTAGTCATATTTATTACAGAATATAGAAGTACCAGCTTTCTTTTCGGGAATGAAATGTCCCAAATACACTATAGCTTATTAATGCATTTTTTTTCATAATTCAGCTTTTTTTATAGGAAAATTCAGTTACTAAAAAATACTGTGCGTTTCATTAAAAATATTACATTGATAAATGAGTATAATCGGAATATTGATTTAATTGGTATTTCCTTTGCATTTCTTTCTAGAATGACGTCATTTTTGCTTATTTTGAAAAAATCATTCAATGCCGGTTTTGATTACGTGTTTTACAGAATATATTCATCCAAATTAACATTGATTTGGCGTGACTCTTTATTATGTTTTATTTGAAACTACCCTTTCGTCAACTATAAATGGGTTATCGTACCTGCCGTTATCGGTGAAGAGAACCTTCTCACTTGTAATAGCGCATTTGCATAGAAGGTGTTCCTTAATATTATGCGAATATTTCAGGGTCTAATAAAAATTATTGTAACGTAAAATGGATAGATATAACCCAGCCTAATTCTGAATAAATCGAATTGCGCTTCTTACTCGTTGTTAAAACTATATATGCATTTCAAACACTAATCGCGCAACAACATCATCGAATGAAAATAATTAATATCATTATCTCCCTTTTTTTAAATATTGTTATTATTGATGGAAATTTCTTTAATGCATTAATTGTGAGTTCTGCGAAATCGTTACAACAACGCGTGAATCAACTAATGAGTGTGTCACGTGGTCGATATGTGTGGCTATACCGTGTGCCAAAATACTTGGTTGGCTGGCTACACTACAAAGTGTCCATTAATAAATAATGCCAAAGCAATACTAATACATCACCTTTCCGGTGCCAAAATAATTAACAGTATTTAATTATAACGTATATTTTTACATGAAAATTAGAAAATCTTTTTTTTTTTCTACACAGAACGTACATCACTTTTAATTTATCACGATTCTTTTAGCCCTAGATTATTTAGTAAAGTAACTTTTAATGCCGAGTTGCGACTTCACATCCTTTGTTAAATGATTTAAAAGGTGAATTTAATTGAATCGATTTAAAAAAATCTCGAGAGCATCCACCTTAATGACCTGATTTTTTTCCAATTTTTGTGTAAAAAACAAAATTCGACAAAAAAATCTGAAAGCAAGCACACCACGGCAAAAAGACAAATGTTTCCTTCCAATTAGATTTTAGAAACAATTTTAGCAGATTTAAAAAATTAAAAAAATCTGTTTTGTACTGAATGTTGCAGCATTCCAAATTTAAAATTACATTACATTTTATAATTACTTTAATTATTTTTCATTAATTTTTATGAACTTTGTTGCTTGGAAAGAAAATTCCAAAATACACGAAAAAAAAAGAACTCGCCAAGAACAAAAACAATTCTGAATTTTTTCTTAGCTTTCGAAAACCTAGTTTTAATTTTTTTTTATATTCGTTATGGCAGTTTTTTATATTTAAAATTGCCTGTTATGATCTCTTTCAAAAATATTTCCAATTCACTCAACTTTTATTTACATGACTTTTTATTAATTTTGTTGCGTGCAAAGCAAACTCCAAAATAAACAAAAAACTCATCAAGATGAAAAAGAAAGAAATACAATGTACAAAATACGAATTCTTCATTTCATTATTTTTGAAAGTTCGTGTTTATTTTTTTTTGTACCCCATATACAAATTTCATGGAAAAAACAATGTCTTTGCTTTAGAAAGCCTCGTTTTAATTCTTTTTCTTGTACTCGTTATGGCAGTTTTTTATATTCAAAATTACCTTTCTATTTCTATTTACATAATGTTTTATTAATTTTGTTGACCGAAAACCGAACTCCCGAATAAATAAAACTCATGTAAGACCAAACTAAAAAAATCTGATTTTTTTCATCCAATTTGACGTTAACAACATTTTGTCATGTTTCAAAGCCCAGTGTTACATTTTTTGTGACCATTACATAATTTTTTTTCATTTTCACTTTTGTTTTAATTTTAATTCAAAAAGGGTTTTTGACTGCGTAGTCGTTTATTTTTTAAAAATAAAAAAAACATTTTTGCCAGAACGATTCTCTCTGCATTACCTCTGATCTGCGACGTCCAAAAAAATAAAAAAAGGCACAAAAACTGGAAGGCACTTTTAATCAGTCCGACGCGGTCACGTGAATCGCATCAATATTTCACGGCGAGAAGTAATATTTTTTAACGGCAAATATTTTCGCGCGGAGACGCGACGAACATTTTCTCGCGATAAAAAAATAAAAATGGAAAAAATATTGCTTCCAATCGGCGAACTGAAAAAAATGACGGAGTGCGTGAAACGCAACTTAATAACAATAACAAAACAACAACCGACGACCGTTCTTTAGTTCATTTTGAATGTCAAATGTTTTCCGCGGCACGCTGCTCGCTGACGAAGACTGCCGCGACCGGTGCAACGTTGCCGGCTCTTTCGGGAAAACTGAGACTTTTTCCGTTGCAATAATATACACCACTCACCAATAAAAAAAAAACAGGCACCTAATTCTTTTTTAATAATTTTAACTTTTTTATTTTTGACTTTATTGCAATGACTTTCTGGTGGTTGGATTCTATACATCTGTATAATTGAATTAAATGTGCTGTAAATAAGTAAAGGCAGATTTTTCATAGAAACTTCATAGCATATCGTAATAATATTTCCAAATCTCTAACTTGCCGACGTTCTGCCAGTCATCCTGTTGGCATCTTCAGAGTTTACGTGAAACTAGCTCTTATATCGGCTAATCTAAATTAAGTTGTCTTTGTTGGTAAATTTTTCAGGAGTAGAGATACAAAGTCGGTTAAAAAAGCAAGGCTAGTAGCATTGTTTCCACTGATTACGATGAAGAAAAATGTACTCTTTTTACATGGAACACTCTATATGTTTTTTACTCAAACGTTGGCAAATCACCAATAGAACAAAAGGGCCAACTTTAACCTAAAATTGAAAATAACGGAATTATCAGCACATTTCTATTTTAGATTAAATGGCTATGAGTGGTTGCGAAATAAGGCTCCTGGTATCTGAAACTGAATTTTGTCTTTTACTGGTCGAAGACTTTGAGAGATTTTTGCACAAGTAGTAAATCTGGTTCTGACGTTACATTTCTTAAGAATTTTTGATATGTGGTCAGTTATGTTCTGAATCCCTATGTACTAGAGTCCCTATTCCTGAAAGTCTCAACATTTCTTCAGATATCCGAAAATCTATCACCAAACCTTCTCACCTTAATTGAAAAATGTCTGCAACATATTTTTCTTATAATTATGACTAGTCATCGCGAATATGTTTATGGAAGCCTTTGACAGAAAAGCCCTGGACACCTTCCGTCACCACCACCACCATCAAAATTATAGAAACGCTACGTTAATGATGTCCCATCCTACGTTTTACCACTGAACTGGAAACTAATAATAATCTCCCACTGTTAGATATTCTTATCAAAAGAAAATCTGACCCAGCATTGAGTTATTTTGTTTACTGGAAACGTACGCACACAGATCCATACCCTTGGAGCATTATCACATCACTATAATCAACAACTCTTCTTTAGCGAGTCGTAAAATGATCTCAGCCCAAGTTATTGAACCCTGAATTAAAATACCTTACATCAGGACCAATAATTTTCACATTAGAGATATTAAGCGTTCCATCACAAAATACACTTCACCACAAACTTCAAAAGACAAAGATTCCGAAAGCAACCCCACACTTGCCACTGTTGTCCTTCCTTACATTCAAAACATCAAAACAGTTTACAGCATTCTATCCATACAGAATACAGAATACCCGACGAAAAATATCAACTAAACTCAAACAACATGAAAAAGCCTAAGAGAGAGACTAAGAGACTAAGACAAATAAACTCATCAGCAGTTACCGAACACAGCACGAAACTGGACATAACATATTCAATCAACCAATTCTTCTACCAACGAAAAATCAGAGAATCTATTGAAATCTAGAAGCTACAAAACAACCTTAACCGCGACTCGGGTCTTTATCTTTCACCAATATGAAAAACAGTCATCCGAGACAATGTTCAGTTAAGCCCTGAAGAGGCCAAGAAGTCGATTGGCGAAACATCAGAAAATTCGATTCGAAAAAAGACAACGTTGATGGCCCTCCCTTAGATCTGCCCCCCTCAAACAGTATATAAGCAGAGTAGAAGTTGTTTACAGAAAACCTACGCACAAAAACCGATATCTTAAGGCATCCATAGTTTATCTATAGTTTATAGAACAGTAAAACTATCTCAACCCGAGTTGCTGAACCCGGAATTAAAACACCTTACATCTGCTCTTCTCTATAATATTGATTTATTTATTTATTATCCAGACCTTAGTTACACTAAATGGGACATTGAAGTAACCTTCACAGAGGTGGAAATTCACCTGTTCGTGGGTTCAGGCTCTACATAGTACTTAAAAACTTACAGACTTAAGTGCTAAATTCATTATACATCACATTATTATACCAAGACACTTTTTCATAACATGAATATATATTTTTTTTGTTATTATTATTACATTTTTTATTACACAGGTATCCACGATCACGAAATTGTAATAACCCAGTAAACCTCACAGTACTTAGAAAATCACTGCAAAGAGTATTCCTTTCATTATAATTTTTATTTTCATTGGTTTTCTTTAATTCCGCGGAATTCGCCGAAGAGACTTACTTTTATTGCTTTGTCAATGTTAAGAATTTTAAGTTGTTCTACACCTTATTAATAGATATGGATATGGATATAACAATTTTTTATGTTAACTGTTTTTGATCGTTACTTATGATAGTTTTCACAATAGGATATTAAGCGTTTCATCAGAAAATACACTTTACCATAACCTTCCAGTCCGAAAGCAATCCGAAAACCAACCAACGAAAAATCTAAGAATCTACAGAAGTCTACAAGCAACCAAATAAATCTTAACCCCGACTCAGGTCTTTACCTTTCGCCAATATAGCAAGTTTGATTTATAAACCGACTCAGGAGGAATCCAGAAGATTTGCAAATAGTAAGCAAAGGAACGTGTTTACATAATTTTGCAGTAGTTTAATTGTGGGATAAGTATATATTCCCGCAGTAAATAATCAGACCTCAAATTTAAGTTTTCAAGAGTAGAAAATATTTATGTTTATTGAAAATGTTCCGTTATGTATGGTATGGTTGAAAACAATCAATACATAAAGCTACTTGACATTTTTGGCAAATGATTTTTTCAATTTTCCGCAAATGCCATTTTAAGCATCTGTTTCAGTTGCCATTTTCAAGTGGAAATTAATATCCAACATTTGCGAAGATCTTGACATTCATTGAAACCCTTCCCTGTCTTGTGCACCATTTGTACAGGGTAAGTCAATGATAGAGTAATAGTATAGTGCGGTAAACGGCATTTCAGTCACGAGTTTAATAAACGACTGACTTAAAAAGCTTACCAAACGTGTTTTCTACTATACTTTTTCTACGAGCGTTAGTTTCTGGTTACAACACAAATACATTCACTGATATGATCGTCAGAATTGACAAGCCGTGCTGTAATATGTCCGAAAACAATCCAAACCCGTGCGATAATATTTCGGAAATGTCGGAAGGGACTCTGATCCGTGGACAAGAAACTCTGGTATTAAACTAAGCACTCTAAATCGGAGTATAGTCGAGGTATTTTACAGAAGCGAGTAGAAAAAAATGTAAATGTAATTCTGCACCATATCAAAAGCTCGTTATCGTTATCATCAACTAATGGGTAAAACCGGATACATGTGGAACTGGTAGCCAAACTACTGGGCTGTAAATCGGACTATAAGAAAAAAAAATGCCGAACGAGGCGAAAATATAACTTTTGAAACCAATGATTACAATAGACTATGTTTATTTGGTAGCCATAGCAATAATAAAAAACAATGAACACTATAGACATACGGTACTCTTAAAGTAAGATTTTTGACACATATACTTTAAAACTCAATATTTTGAATGTGATGTGACGAGTTTTACAGTTAGTTAGTTAGTTAGAGTTACTCAGCGGTATTTTTTTTAAGACAAGTTCATATCCGTAGGTATTTTTTATTGTAATATAAACGGGCAACAAGTCAACTTAATGATTGTATAGTTTTCAACAAATTTAAAATTTTGAATCCTTTACCAAACTTATTTTTGCTGTTAGTTGTTTACATCATCTCTAGCGAGAGAAGACATAACCGCCATCGTCTGCGGACTCTATAGCCACTCAATCAGGGTCAAGACGTTCAAAAGTTATATTTATGTATAGACACTGAGGCACTGCTATTGAAACGTTAGTTATGACTCTTTGACGTAAAGTTATTGTCAAACCAAGGAGAACTTTTAGAACTTTATCGTTTTATGACACTAAAAATGGTCAAACTTACCATAAAAATTAAGTTTAAGCATTTAGAGACTTTACGGATTTCATTTTATCTACTGTCGTTGTGCATGCAACCACAAGACTATAACAAGTTGTAAAGTTGATATTCCGACCTTGTTAAGACTTTCCCTTAATTTGGCTGATTTATTGTAACATTGGCAACGCCACGCTAACGATAGGAGAAAATTGTCGCGTTTTATAGGGTGTGACAAACAAACGACCAGCGTTACCGCAGCGGCTGTGTTTATTGATTCAAACCGCGCACGCTGGTCAATTTTTCATAATGTTAGAGGACGGACCGCCAGAATTATTAACCAAGCTTCGCGTTATTCACTCTCGAAATAAGGGTTGACTAACACAAGCAGCAAATGTCGGGACGTTATATGTCTACAGCTTTTTTTTTAATTGCTCCGCGTTACGCGCACATACATATATATTTGTATTTTAAGATGTCTGCCAGATCCGCCTTAAAAATATGAATAAAATGCTGCCTAACCCTCAGTGCATGGATGTGGAAGATTATATTACAATCTTTGGTATTTTTTTTAAAGATATATCCAAGTACGCAATGTTGACGCTTTTACGTCATGTGGCAATATTTAATAGTTTTGACGTTCCCGGTATATGATTTCACTAATAAAATAATATATCCCTTAAATTATAGTATTGAAAACGTCTTCACAATGCATTTTTAATCTGCAGGAAATTCGAGCTTTTACAGCCATTTTACCTAATTGTTAGGGTTGAGTAAAACTGATATTGTTTCGAATATAAAGCTTTATATGTAAATAAACTGTGGTACATTTTTCCAAATTACCTAGCAAAAGTTTATTAAAGTTTTCGGCGTTATATTCCCTCTCGTTATATTTATACAGCAAATATTCTTAGAAGAGGCTTAATTAGTAGTGAATTAAAGCTTCCAGTTAAAACGATGACATCATTTTGTTAGAATCGTAAACTGAATAAGTTGTGTTCGTACCATAGAAGAATTGTTGCCATCCATGAGGAGCGCTGCACGTATGTTGTGTTGCCTATAGATTAATAACGCTTACTAAATATTTGGCGTGAAATATTCCAACATTTCTAGTTTCGAGTTTTGTGTAGGGGTCAGTTGTTATAAAATATTACACTACAATAGACATAATTTTTCTGCAATAAACATTTGCTTTTACCTGATTACTAGAGTTAAGTAAAACTGACACTGTTTCGAATATAAAGCTATATATGTAAATCTACTGAGTTTTCTGTAAATATCACTTTCATACCATTTTCAAAGTCTGTTCAAGAAATTGCTTTGCACAAGTTTATTAGTTTTCGCATACCTCTTCAATTGCAACAACGCGTGCTTCAAACTATTTCCGCGTTCATACCCTCTCGTTATATATAAAACAAATATTCTCAGAAAAGGCTTAATTAGTACTGAATTAAAGCTTTCAGTTATTACGTCATTTACTAGAACCGTAAATTGAACAAGTTGTGTACATACCATAGAATTGTTACTATCAATGAGGGACGCTGGAGTATATTGTGTTGCCTATCGTTCAACAGCGCTTACTAAAGATTTGGTTTAAAATGTTCCAACATTTCTAGTTTTGAGTTTTGTGTAAGGGTCAAGCCTTATCAAATATTACACAATAAGAGACGGTAATTTTTTTGCAATAAAATTTAATTTGTTTCAATTCCACTATTTTGCAAATCATAGCCTATATTACAATAACAATATGGAAACAAAATTGATAAAAAATATTATTTGAGACTTTGCGACAATTTGCTTTGGAAGTATTCAGAGTCGCCCTTGGTTGCTTGTTTATTGATAGCTTTGTGCCTTTCTTTACTTACTATTTCTTCTAATACTTCCCCATCTCCCTTTATAAGCCTAAAAATTTGAATTTTACAGTTTTTCATTGAATACTGTTTCAATGTTTACCGATGCCTGCCAGTTTCTTCATCAAAAACTTTCCGTACAACACTCTGCTTTTTGTCCCACTCTTCCTTCGTCATTGGAGCCATGGACTTACTTTTGTCCATCAAATCTAGAGGAATGTCGTTACTCTTGTCTTCACTGCACTTGATTTTTTTCTTTTTCTCTTGGAGGTGCTTTCTTTTTTTTGCTTTATTATTTGTTTCCTTTTTTAGCTTTCTAGTTTTAAGTGTCCCAGTACTTTTTGACTTTTTCTTACCAGATTCATATCTACTAGAATGTAGGTTAGACATGCCCGAATTTAATAAAATAAACCAGACAAAAACTTAACCTTTTCTTCTTCGCATGGTCTGAAGATGAGGTGGAGCTACTGCTGGAGCTTGCACTACTGCTACTGCATGAAGAGGTAGACGAGCTTGATGAGGTAGACGAATGCCTTTTGCGAGTATGAGAGTTTGTGATCCTTCTTTTTTTCGACAAGTCTTCATCGGAAGAACTAGAGGAGGTGCTGGAATTGCTGCTGCTATCGTTGCTACTACTTTCTGAACTGGAGGATTGTTTTCGTTTGCGGTTTTTGTCGTGTTTCTTTCTCTTGACGGTAATAACTTTCTTTGATTTTTGCATCTTATGGCAATCCTTTTACAAATATATAGAAATTTTAATAAATTTAGTCACTCTTTAACATTTACATATTAAAACGTAAGCGAATGTTATTGTCAACAATACATACTTCTAAAAACGCTAACTTCACCCCAACTGCCTAAAAGTTAAAATAAGTATTAAGGAGACATAGTAAACCAGATTGAAGCAAAACATCAAACCAGAAATATATGTCAACGTAAATAATACGTTTAAGATTTTACGAATAACCACAAACAATGAGAAATTTAATTATATTTTTTGCAAAGATGGTTCTTAATATATGTAGAAAGTAAAATTATAGTAAAATCGTGTCGTCTGTGTGTGAGGTATAATTCAAAGGTCTGTGATTTGAACTTAACCTCTACATTTTGATAATATTTTGGTTAAGATGACCGTTCACAATATTTATATTTTTGATAGAAACGGAACGTTATTATATTATCACGAATGGAACAGGCTGAAACAATCGGGAATGACTAGAGAGGAGGTATGTTGAATGAGTCGCATCAAACAGAAGTGGCACAGTAAACTTGTAATTTGTAGGAAGCTAAATTGGTTTACGGCATGCTTTTTTCTATTAAATCCTTCGTAAACAAAATGTCTCCGATCGATCCAAAAGAAGGTTTCCTCTACTACAAAACGTCTAAATACACTTTGAATTATTTTGAGACTCCATCGGGTGTCAAATTTGTGTTAAACACGGATAATCATTCACAAGGCATCAGAGACTTGTTGCAGCAAATTTATAGCCAGGTAAAGTAAGTTACCATATTGTGAAAAAGATTATATTCCCATTTTGTTTTAGTTTTTTGTGGAATATATTGTAAAAAACCCTCTATGCAAATTAAGTGAACCAATCCAATCAGAACTTTTCAAAACCAAGTTAGATGCGTACATCAAACAATCTTCAGTATATTTAACAAAATCAATGTAGGTGTTATGTATATATAGATAATGTAATGTTTTATTTATGCTTTATGTACTGTGGTATTTTCAATTTCTTTATTAAAATAAAAAAAGGAAATTCCTTTGTCACATTTCAATTTAACCTATTTTCCAAAAAAAATAGTGTATATATATATATATATATATATATATATATATATATATATATATATATATATATATATATATATATATATATATATATATGTTTTGTTTTAGGCTTCCGTGGGTCTTACATGTGTGTTGTAAATTCTTCCGGGTTTTACTCCGCGTTTGGCCTGGCTGGCTCCAAGTGGAGGTAGTCGGCTTGAACGGAGAGTTCAGACGAGAAGCAGAATGACCCTACTTGAAAATGGCAAGTGAGATCTTGCCGAAACATTGTCAGCAGAGTACTACCTCCACTTGGAGCCAGCCAGACCAGACGCGGAGTAAAACCACAAACAAAATTATAATGTGATCAAATTGTATTCTGTACACTGTTTTTTTGCAAATTGCAAAACGCGCTGCAGCGTTATTTTTAATCCATATGGCGCTTAAAATACCCCGTCATGTATCATTTTCGTTGTCAGAACTTGTATTTTGATATAAAATAAAGTATTTTAATGCGAAATCTTGCGAACTCTTTTATATTATTTTACAATATGTCAATAAACAAAACGAAATAGCGTTTATCCTTTGAGTCACGTTAAATTTCTAGAGCCATTTTAATTTCAGAAAATACACATTTGGTTTTTCCTAATTACTTTCGTGTCTGGGGTAATATTTTAGAATTATTGCTAGTTTGAAATCACCTAATTTATTTAGTTATTAACGAAAACCAACCAAACATATGTTTTATTCTATACATACGGTCAAATAAATAACAATCTATTTATTATTTATTTGAAAGTATCTCAGTTCAGAAAATGAAAATATGCAAGGGGAAAAAATGTTGCTTATTTAAGAAAGACTGCTTTTCCGAGACAAACGACAGCAAACCCTCAGATATCAGTGTAAAACGTCACTTCTGGCTCAAATAGTTGCCTTTCTTTGTTGATTTTGATTAGATTTCAGTCAAAATCGGATTTTTCGTCATCTACTTTACCGGAATCTCTATTATACGTGCAGATATGAACTTGGAACTGCACTTTCGGGGACAAATGGTTGCTTTTTTTTTAAATTTTGAACAGATTACATGCAAAAACGAATGATGGTCTAAACGCAGGCCTACGTCGCTTCCTCAATGGCGTTCCAGAATCGTACTTCGATACTTCGTGCATTCAAATGCTGAAAGCTGACGGATTGGTGTAGAGTTTCATCGGTGAGATTCCTCGATGATTATTAGTCCATGCAGTGACAAATCCGATCCAATTAAATCGAAATCGTTATCGTTACTGGACTCGTCCCCCACATTAATAGTTAATTCTGGCACTAATCGACTTCTGCAAACATTTTCTTCTTCGATGACATGTTCTACACATTTTTTTCAACTAGAAGCAGGTATTTTTTCTAGTTCACTTTTAATTAATGCTATTGGCGAGGTGTTGTCTCCTCTGAAACTGGGTTTCCGCTGTCCCCATATCAGTTCTATCGGATTAATATTGCAGCGATATGGAGGAGGACGGACAACTTTGAATCCCCGCTCCATGGCCAACTTGTCTACATTATACCTCTTATCAACCATTCCCGTCTTAAGAAGTTCAAATCAATGCATCTTTGTGTAGGAATTTGAAAATTACAAACACAAGACCCCCACAAATGATCTCCATAAGATTTTTTGTATTGCTTCTCTAGGAAAATATTTTAGAGTCTTTATGTTAAACCATTAAATTGGAAATCAGTTTAAGCTTTCTAGTGTGTTTTAATATAGGAGATCAATCTATCTAATGGGCAACTTCAACTTGAAATCGAGCTACCTCAAGTAGGTAAGTAGTAGTTGAAACAACTTTACAACAGTCGGCTCTTAAACTTATACCGAAGTCAAAACCATAAAAAATTGTAAAAACCGTATATCGTCCGTCGAACTTTAACTAGTTACTTAATTTTTTTTTTCAAATTTTTAGGAACATTTGTTTTCGAGAAAGAAAGAAAATTCGGTAAACTAGCGTTTTATTCGCAACGTAACTGTTTGTTCCAACGTTAGTTGTTAATTAATATCGGATGGCCGATTTTAGTTCGAACGACCGGTCTGAAATTCGTGTGCCCTTTATCGTTAGGGGCGTCTGGTAGCGTCGCGGCGCACTCATTCGGCAGTGCGTCTGCCGGCGTCGCGAGACGAACACGTCATGCTTTGGATCCTTCGGAGGACGCGAGTCGGTCTGACGTCCGCTGCTTCTATCTTGAACAACATCAACAACAACGGTAAGTCGACGATGACGATGATCCATTTTTTTTTATTCGAGAGGGTACTGTTTTTTGTTATTTAATGTGAAATGTGCATCAATTGAATCTTCAAGAAGCAAGTTGTTACAGTCTGACATAGGATAAATGGTCATGACTGTAATAATAGTGTTGGCAAATACAAAAAGTGTTTGACTCTAAGTATGGTGATGAACCTTTCCATTTTATTGCGGTAAAACGGGCCTTTGGAAAAATGTTTTTTTTTTTTACACCGGAAAACCAGAATTGGGAATTTTTGTTTTTAAATCTAGCTAAATCGGTATAACATCCTATTCTAACCAGCTTTTTTTAACATTAATTCCTTAAATTCGTTATAAAATCAACAAAAATGCAAGTAAATAGAACATATTACTAATTACAAAACTCTTTTTAACCCCCTTAAACATGTAATTTTTTTTCTTATTCCGCAATAGCATTTTTTAATACAAAAAATGACTCTTTACAGTGTTCAAGAACGTTTAGATCTTCATGAATGTTCCATAAGAAATAATAAGAGTCAAGCATTAGCCCTAAGAGAATATAGGTTGTTGTACCCTGCAAGGGGGGTACATATGTTTTCACGAATTGTTCGTAATCTTGAGCGTCTAGTGGTAGTCAAAAATCCAAAAAAGCGGTCCAAAAAATATTAGTAAGACTGGTCTTCAAAGGATTTTAATAACTATCATCCCAACAAGATTTTCAAACAAGACTTTTTTATTGTTCCATTATGATGGATCACTATTTTGAAAGTGGTGTATCTCAAATGAAATTTGTGTTAAAGAAATTAGGAAACAGGGTCGGCAATGTGTTTATGTGTGTTGTGATCTAATAATAGACCCAATTTTCTTTGTTCTGAATGGTAAGAGATATTTAAATTTGTTAGATTAATTCATAATCTGCAGGACAATATTGAAGAAGGGATTGTTTTTCAACAAGATAGTGCGCCATATCATACCGTAGTGCCTGTTAGAAATTGTTTAAATCAACGTTTTCCATTTTGAATTTGTCAGTACGGAAGCGAGGAGCCTTGATGTGGCACCCCTGGACTTTTTTTATAGAAAATCAAGTGTACAAAAATGGGCATGGAGGTTATGTAGAAAATGTTTTGTATTTACTAATAAGTTCTATTTACTCGCATTACTTATACACGAGTTTTTGCAGAAAATTGGCCATAACTTCTAAACTACCATTTTTGCAATAAAAGCTATATATATGAAAAGCTTTAGAATTAAATCCAAAAGCCATTAAAATTGCTAAATACAGGGTGTGCCATTCAAAAAATTGACTTTTTTAAATTAGAAAAAACATGTGTAATATATTTTCGCCATAGATCGGCTAAAGCATTAAATAGTAACCATTTCCATGGATTCATAATAAAAATTCCCAATTTTAATTTTCAAGAGTAAAAAGAACATATCTTCCCGGTGATATGACAGATAATGATAATGACAAAAAATACTCAAAATTAAGCGAATAATTATAATTTTCAAGAATATTCATAGCATTCCATTAAAAAAAATGAACTTGGTCTTCTTCTGGCACAACGAAGCACCCTGTATACAGAAAAATATTGTATTTAACTTTTCTTCGTCAGTCTCGTACTTATTGAGATAAGGTATAGAAGCATCTTAAATGGACCATCTTGTACATGATCAACACTTTCTTCAACTGCTCTCTGGTATTTACACACCGAATTTTAATTACTTCAATTACATGCGTCTAACTTTACTTTTTATTTATACGAGTTCTCAAAACTTGAGCTTGTTGTATTTTTCCATAAGTATGTTCGAAATAAAAATCATTCTGACTAAGCAACCTCTTTTTGCTGGTGGAAAAAGAGAATTTTTTACTCAATTTTCATAAAGTTCGTTTGTCGTAATGGTAGTCTAATGAGCAGTCTTTAATGTTTTTGCTGAAAGTAGCAGGCGCAGGTACATTCAAAATGCAATTTGATCAAGAAGTTTACACCCACTCTCGTCTAAATAATATAAATATTTATTGTATTATAATAAAAACAAAAAGAGAACTGTCTTACCGAGTTGTGTTTTGCAAATTACCATTAATTTTAAAGGAAGATTATTCGAAGATGATGTAAAAGATGTGTGCAAAGCAATTTCAATTAGAGTCTTCAAAATAAACGAATATATTTTGATCATTATAAATTGAAAAATTTATATATATATATATATATATATATATATATATATATATATATATATATATATATATATATATATATATATGTATATATATATGTATATATATGTATATATATATATATATATATATATATATATATATATATATATATATATATATATATATATATATATATATATATATATATATATATATATATATATATATATATATTGATCATTATAAATTGAAAAATTTATATATATATATATATATATATATATATATATATATATATATATATATATATATATATATATATATATATATATATATATATATATATTCTCACGTATTGATTCACGGATGGAAAAATGTGATGACACTATATTCCGGGATATCATCCGTTCGTTCGTTGAACTCCGACTGGAATCCTGCATCCGACTGGAATCCTGCAAATCTTGCATCCGACTGGAATCCTGCAGACGTTTCGCCAAAATCTCACTTGGCATCTTCAATGCTCGCGTTCCGAAAACACTTCGAACACTGGGAGGTTATCGGCGGTGCGTGCGGTATTTATACTCTGCGCCGGAGATGGTAACGGTGCTGCTTATGCGTGGGGGGAGGTGGCTCCGCCCCCTGAATTGTCGCGTTGTTAATTTCGCCCGATCGTAGTTGCGATGTTCCCGTTGGCTGCTGCGCATCGCTCTGCTGTTTGATTATCGTTCTCCACGTGTTGGATAAATGCAGAGCGTCGTCTCTCGTATTGAGGTGTCCGGACTTTTCTATTTCGATGGCCTCTCGTATAATCCTAGTCCTAAAATCAGGAATATTAGCTATTTGTTTGCAAGTGCCGAAATCAATTTTATGGCCTGTCTGATGTTGGTGCTGAAACAAAGCAGATGTTGTTTGTTTGTTTCTTATGGCTAAACGATGTTCCTCGAGCCTGGCTGAAATCCTTCTGTTGGTCTGTCCCACATACGTCAGGCTGCACGATCCGCATGCTACACTCTGGAAAACCAAGGAGTATACATATATATATATATATATTTCGCCAAAATCTCACTTGGCATCTTCAATGCTCGGGCTCCGAAAACACTTCGAACACTGCCGAACGGAGCCTGAGCATTGAAGATGCCAAGTGAGATTTTGGCGAAACGTCTGCAGGATTCCAGTCGGAGTTCAACAAGCGAACGGATGATATCCCGGAATATAGAAACATCACATTTTTCCATCCATGAATCAATACGTGAAAATATATATATATATATATATATATATATATATATATATATATATATATATATATATATATATATATATATATATATATATATATATATATATATATATATATATATATATATATAAACTTTTGTCGACCCGTCTTGAGTATCCATATCCATCAACTTAGGTGGGTTCCGAATTATCTTTATACAGCAACTCTGTCTGCCTCATCTCTCTGCCAGCTGTCTCGATGTTAAAGACAATAGTTTGGAATTATTTAACGAATCTAACCAGGAATCTGTAAGTAGTGATAAAAAATAAACTTTTTGGTTTAGTGAGCTTGGTTAGTTCATTTGTTTTCGAGGGAGTCATGAGTCGTTTTTTATAAATGCCAATTTTATTTCACTTATTTCAAAAAGAGAGAAAGTAAAAAGTTTAGCGCAGAGTACGAGTTGTATAGTAAATTTATATTTTAGAGAAAGTTAGCCACTAAGTTTCAGATTTTTGAAAAAAAAACTAACATAAAAAATTTCCAGATTTTGTTTTTTGGTTCTGCCAAATAAGAAATATTTTTTAGAAAGGACCATCTGGCTGAAAATTGCCAAAAACTGAACGAACGAGCGCTTGTGTTAAATTTGTATAGAATTTGAAAATCTCTGTGATAACGTAAGAATACTGTCTAAAACGATATTTTATATACAGAACCTTTTTTTTACCGCGTGTTGAGCCTCTCTCAGTGGTCCCTGCTTAGTGAAATGCAGCAACTCAAAACGTCAAATTAATTAAGTTTAAACATCTACGAATATCTAGTTAAAGCAGTTTCCTCAGAGTTTTCATCATTGTTTAGAGTTTTCTAGGTTAATGTGATTGTACATTGAATATGTATCATATTTATTACCGGCAAGATACCAGTTACTATGGCCTAGTTTAAACCCGGTCGGTTTAAACCTCCTGACTTATAACCGAAATAAAGCTCTTAGTGGAACGCATCGAATTTGCATCTTATAAATATTTAAAATTAAGGAAATACTCGGAGTAGTTCGGTAGAAAATTTGCATTGGTTCCCGCCTCGATTTTTCCCCCGTAATAATGAAATTTTAACGTCTCCCTACCACCCACCGGTACGTTTTTTGAATTGTTCAAAAAGTGTGTGCTAATATTTCTTTTTTGCATTGCATTTAAATTATCGAAAGTCTTTTTCAAGCATTCAAATAATCTAAATCTAATTTTAATTGCAAAATACCAATATCAAATATACAGATCGCATTTCGTCCAACCACTTACTTCTTTTTAGTCTACATGCCACTGGTATTTTTTGTGTATTAAGAATTTATTAAAAATGTGAAGCGACATTTAAATTATTATAAAAACATTTTTTTTTTTTAAATTCTACATATCGAAAATGAATCATATTATAAAAAAAATGCTAATGGTTAGTAGCTTGCGATTTATCTTCTCGTTTCCACATCGAGCTGGTGAAACTATGAATTCAAAATCATCAATGTGAGGTGCCAATGTAAAACTGAGGGACTGTAAATTTTTATTTAATATTTTTACCACTTTTTTATTTCGTTCAATTACTTTAAATACCCCCAGTTTTTCAAGCTAAGCCTAAA